TATGTTTTAGTATGTTTACAAGAAATAAATTCCAAACAATATCCTCATTAGATGAGAAGATCTTGAACAGAATGACCTCAGTAAGTCAATTACAATGACAGAGCGTCGTAATACATTTACATCAAGTACAATACGTCAAAATGGCCGACACGATAAACGTGACGGGAGATATTTTCGAAGTTGTTAATTAACCTGTGGCTATTTCAAGCCTTTGGCATCACTGATCAATTAGCCGATCATTGAAAGGTCATTGTGAAGATGTGTCAAATAGATACTAAGGTAAATTCATAGATTTCTGTAAATTGTCACTGCGACAGTTTGGATTTTTTTTTGTGTTTTTTCTCTCTGGGATGGGTTGTAGCGAGGGTATCCTTAAATGGGCTTGCAACCACGCTTCTGTATGAATTCGTACCAGGGAATTCCAAGGTGTTTCCCCAGGAATGTGGAAATAGTAAGTGTTTACGCCTTTTCAAGAATACAGTCACGTGAAGAACGTCATGTGACCGACCTCGCGTCCAAGTCGTAAATCTTGTAAACTTCACATTAAAAAATTAGTTATTGTTATAACCAAATGAAACACAACCCATTATCCGATTGGGGTAACTGTACATAGCCGTTACAACAATAAACTTAGTAACATTGTTTGGTTTGACTTCTTGGCGCGTGTCTGAATTCCATTAACATGTAAAATATCCTAAAACTAGCTTATCAGCAAATCTCGCAGCACTGCGCGCGAAATATACTAGAGCAAGGCATGCCAGAAATACGAAACCTAAAGCTTCCGAAAGGAAGCCTTGGACATCACGTGCGTCGGGGGACCAGCGCCATCTGATTGGCCGTTAACAGTTGTACAAGGCGGAGCAAAAAGCATCGTTTTTCCGTCCATTTTACGCTTGAAAAACCGACCCTTTTCTAGACACTTTCTAGACGCTGACCAATTAATCAATTTTAATGAATTTTTAGTCGTTTTTCCGTCCAATGACCATATACGGAAAAAAACGACGTTTTCGTGTTTGCAGTGTAGGGTCCATGGGGACTTACAGTACTTTTGCTACCTGCATGGACCCCAGCCGGATTTACATAATCCCTTCCGCTGTTGGCGATTAATGACAAATGTAGCCAGAATAAATGAACATATATTCTACGATTAAAATTGTGGTGAAAAAACATTACTTTGAATGACGTGGTCTGACATACCCTCTCAGGGGGACAATCATTTTACACTTCTTCAACCCCCATCAAGGGTAAAGCCACAAACAATCTCAGTTAACAATTTTTCCGCTACCAATACTAAACTATGTATTATTTACAGAACATAGCATCAAAATTTATGTAATAATTCTATTTCTTTTAAAAACCCAATAATTAAATGACTACTCACGTGATTAAAAAGATCCTTTAGCGATGAAACTTTGAAATACGTATCCCTTGTGATGGAAAAATCAACACAGTCAAGCAGGACATGCTTGACTGTGATTCTTTCATCACAAGGGATGCAAAATGGAGGATCTTCACCTTTTAAAATATATTCATGAGTGTACCTTGAACGGCCAATACGACATCGTCTTAAAATGACCTCTTCAAATCTGGACTGACAACCCAAGTAGGTGTAACCGATATTTGCTTTTATTGCATGTAATTTATTTATACCCACTTGGGTGTCCCACTTCTTCTGCATTAGATCTTTGATGTAAAATCTAATGACAGGTTTATAATCACTGTATGGTAGCAGAAGTGGTGTCACAGATTTGTTGAGAGCTGCTTTTGCAGCAGCATCAGCCATTGTATTACCAACAATTCCAACATGGCAGGGTAACCAACAAAAAACGATGTCATATTGGCCAGTCGCAAGATCATTAAATAACTCAAGAATTTCAATTAAAAATGGATGCTTACATGACATATTTTTAATAGCCTGAAGGCACGAAAGTGAATCTGAAAAAATAATGAAGTCTTTATATTTGGATTTGTTCTTGATATATTTTAGTGCTGTTAAAATTGCGTGCGCTTCTGCTGTGAATATGGAACTATTATCGGGTAATCGTGAAGATACTGTTCTGGATCCAATGATGGTGGCACTAGCAACTGCGCCACCATCCTTGGATCCATCTGTAAATATAGATTTATAAGTGTCATAATTGTTTCGTAATTGATTGTATTCTTGTTTATAAATAAGTGGATTTGTATCAGATTTCTTAAGTCTAGTTAATGTGAGGTCTACATTTGGCCGTACCATTTGCCAAGGAGGCGATGAAAAAAGTTGTGTGGGAGCTATATCCTGAAAGTTAATGTTCGCAGCAGAAACGACTGATTTAATTCTTATTCCTAGGGGTGGAACAAGAGATGTTTTCTTATTGTAAATGTCTTCGTAAAGAGGGTTAAATACGCAATTTAAAGCTGGATTTGACTGATTGGAATATAATTTAGTGACATATTGTAAAGATAATTTCAGACGGCGTTGTTTAAGAGAAGGCTCATCCGCCTCAACAGACAGACTTGGAATAGGAGAAGTGCGAAAGGCTCCAAGGCAAAGCCTCAGTCCTTGGTGATGGATAGTATCAAGTTTTTTTAAATTACTTTTACAGGCTCCACCATAAACGATGGGGCCATAATCAAGTTTGGAACGGATCAGTGACCTGTATAAGTGTAGGAGGGTTGTCTGATCCCCTCCCCACTTGGAATTTGATACTACTTTCAATAAATCAAGCGCCTTCAGGCATTTAGCTTTAAGTGATTTAATGTGTGGTAAGAAAGTTAAATGGCTATCAAAGATGAGTCCCAAGAATTTGGCCTCCTTTACAACTTTGATAGGGGTGCCATTCAAAAATAATTCAGGGTCTTTATGCGGCTTATATTTTCTGCAGAAGTGTATACAGTTCGTTTTAGACATAGAAAATTTGAACCCATTTTCGAGAGACCACTTATGAATTTTATTGAGACAGATTTGTAACTGCCTTTCTATGGTATGCATATTTTTACCACAACAAGATGCATTAAAATCATCCACGAACAGTGAACCATCCACTGAATTACTTAACACCTTGGACAGACTATTAATTTTAATACTAAACAAGGTGACAGACAAAATACTGCCTTGTGGGACACCCTGATCCTGATTATAATGGTCAGACAGGGTGGAACCCACTCGGACTTGAAATTGTCTGTCTGTTAAAAATTGTGATATAAAATGAGGCAACCTGCCTCTTAAACCAAAATCATGTAAATCCTTTAGAATGCCATGCTTCCAAGTAGTATCGTATGCTTTCTCAAGATCAAAGAAAATTGATACTACGTGTTGCTTATTTACAATAGCATTTTTAACAAAGGATTCTAATCGTACCAAATGGTCGATAGTACTTCGATTTTTTCGGAAACCACATTGAACATTGCTTAGAAGATTGTTGGTTTCCAAATACCATACTTATCTATTATTTACTATTCGTTCCATGGTTTTGCAAACACAACTGGTTAACGATATAGGGCGGTAATTTGAGGGATCAGTATGATCCCGGCCAGGTTTTGGTATCGGTACCACAATGGCATTATGCCATGAAGGAGGAAAATTCCCTGATGTCCATATGTGGTCAAATATATCTAAAAGCGTCTCAAGACATGATTCGGGCAAATGCTTGAGTAACTGATAATGGATATTATCATCCCCTGCAGCAGTATCCTGAGCTTGCTCAAGAGCAGTATGTAGCTCATGCAATGAAAATACTTCATTGTAGTCTTCACCATTATTTGAATCGAAATTAACCTTTTTCTTTTCCTGTTGTTTCTGATATCTCTGAAACTCGGGAACATAATTTGATGATGAAGAATTTTTGGCAAGAGTCTCGCCAAGTTTATTTACAATGGCAGATTTATCATTTATTAATTTGTCACCGTCTTTAAGATGGTGTACAGACGATTTAGAACCTTTACCTTTTATTTTTTTAACCATGTTCCACACCTTGGACATGGGTGTGCGTGAATTAATTCTGGAGACATAATTCCTCCAAGATTGACGCTTATTATGTTTATAAGCACGTCGTGCCTTGGCACTAGTTATTTTAAGAGTATTCAAGTTATGTACTGTAGGATGTTTACGGAAATATTTTTCCGCTTTCTTCCTACACTTTCTTGCTTGTTTGCATTCATTGGTAAACCATGGCTTACGAATGTGAGGATTTGCAGAGGACTTCGGAATTGTTTGGTCAGCAATGTCATTGAGTTGACTCGAAAACAACTGGATGGGATCTGGTACATTAGTGAAATGATCCGGTTTTAATTTTTCAGCACATAATGTTTCATACAAGGACCAATTTGCCTTTGTAAAATTCCACCGTGACGAAGGTGGGTCATCATTCGGTGTCATTGCTTGTAGGACAGTAGGAAAGTGATCACTTCCACAAAGGTCATCATGTACAGACCATTTGAACTCATTGTAAATATTTGAATCAGTGACGGACAGATCGAGTGCAGAGTAAGTTCCTGTGGCAGGATGTAAATAGGTGCTGGAATCGTCATTAAATAAACATAAATTATTATCAGATAGAAAATCCTCAATAACTTTCCCCTTATTGTTTGTAGTTGTACCTCCCCATAAAGGGTTGTGCCCATTTAAATCGCCCATGATGATGCACGGCTTAGGGAGCTGATCATACAAATGCTGAAGATCAGACAGTCGAAGTGTAGACGAAGGTGGAATATATAAAGAGCACAAAGTGAATGCAATGTGCAAGGTAAGGCGGATAGCAACAGCTTGAAGAGTTGTATTTAAAGGAACATCACTATGTATGATGTCATGCCTGACTAAAATAGTAGAGCCTCCAGTGGCTTTGTCACCCGGAGGAGAAAAAGAATGATGACAATTATACTGCCTCAGATCAAATGTATCCGTATGTTTAAGATATGGAGACATATAGCTGACGGCTTAAAATCTTGAACTAGTACTTGTATCTCATTAAAATTCTTACGAAGTCCTCTGCAATTCCATTGTATAAAGTTGTGAGAGCAACTCATGGAGGCTCAATTGGAGAACGGGAACGGGGTGAAGGTCCCATACGCTGTAACGACAACGATGGAGACACTTCCATATCGAGAGGTTCAAAGGTGTTGTGAACCTCGACAGGGATTGTTGAAGGCGCCTTCAGATGTTTCAGGGTCCTTAATTCCTTTTTTTTCATTTGTTTTCTCTCTTTCCTTGTTAAAAGGTGAGGTTCAAGCTCAGTCTCAGACTCAGGGTGTGGTTGAATCTCAGGCTTAGGCTCTGGTTCAGGTTCAGGCTCCAGAGAGGGAGGGGTGAATTGGCTATCAGTCTGAGTTTCAGACGATGATGTTAATTCCTCTGTAGTGGAACATAACATTGTTTGTTGATCCGAGACCCAGGAAATATCTGTTTGACAAGCATGATCAACAGTTTGCTTAGGAGAGGAGACTATGGCAGAGTAAGATCTGGATTGTAAACTGTTATGAGGTTGTTCCTTTACCAATTTCTTTGCATCAGAAAAGGAAATATTGTTTGTGTATTTGATCTTTATTATCTTTGTTTCTCTTTCAAAGACTGGACACTGTTTGGAGGAGGACATGTGCTCACCGTTGCAGTTCGCACATCTGATGTCACCTGTGCAATCAGAGCTGTCATGATTCTTACTGCAACGGGAGCAGACTGCAGAGCCACGACAGGACTTGGCGCCATGACCAAACTGTTGGCACTTGAAACATCGCAGGGGATGTGGTATATACACATCCACGCCGATGTTAAAATAACCAGCTTTGATTGAGGTTGGGAGCCTCGAAAGAGCAAATGTAAATAAATAAGTGTTAGTGTTTACAACACTATCATGATCTTTTCGTGTAAAGCGTTTTACAGCTGTAACACCTTGAGATTTTAGTTCCTCAGCAATCTCCCCTTCTGACATGTCAGACAGGCATTTCGCTCGGTCGCGGACAATGCCCCTGCATGAATTCAAAGATTTATGGATAGATACTGTAACTGCAGTATTGGCAAAATGATGAGCATTCAACAAATTTATGGATTGTTGTCTCTTGGAGCATTCTATCAAGAGAGAACCAGATCGAAGACGAGTGACGTTTTGAACATCACCACAAATTCCTTGAATAGCCTTTGAAACTACAAAAGGGTTGATCTTGAGAGGTAGACCATCAATGCCTTCAACAACTAGAAATCTTGGCCATGAGTCACTGTTGGTTGTAGAAGATTCATCATCAGAAGATGAAATATTATCTATGTCAACATGTCTTCTCTTGTTTTTGCTACGAGAACCAGTGTTTTGTGGGGTATCCATAATGAGAGAAAAAAGTTTCAACACCCCTGCTCCCCACCCACCATGGAGTGCTACAAAGAGCGATGTTTTCCTGCACCGGATCTCCAACATACAAACATAAGGGATACAGAGGTGGTATACTCCAGTAAGAACAACATGAATAGCTGCATTTGTCTAACAAATAAAATGCCAGGCTGGTCCGGCCCATGACAAGAAATTTAAGACATACAGAACTCAGAGGTCGAAAGTACCAGATTGGCCCATGAGCCACCGCCTTCTGGCGTAAGACTCTAGGCAAATTATTCAATCCAAAATTGGTAATTCATACAAAGTATGCATGGCCAAGTCCAAAATATACATTATAATACAACACAGGAGTGCATATACAATATTACGCACAGGGCCTGGCATGACCAGCCGATTGATAAGACCGGGCCCATCTTACCACCCGTCTAGGCGAAGTAAGGGTCGAAGTAGTGTGTTGGGCAAAGGAACACAGTTCCAGGAACCAGTGCCCTCAACTACCAGACTCCCGTCCTCCGCCGACACAGGGACGCAACCCACGGCAAACGGGCTGCCCACTTTGGTCGCCTCTTACGACCAGCAATGGGGTGCTGTGGAAATATTCTACCCCGGTTCCACACGGGGGAAGAGCTATTAGCGTTACCCAGCACTCACCACGAGGAGGTTGCTCTTCACGAGTGCCTATTTCTCTGTGCGATACTCAGTCTCTGTCAGAGTAATATGTGAGATGTTTGCTGTAAGTTCCACTTCAATGCTAAAATGGATTGAAAGCCAACCATACTTACCAATCTGCAACGATGTAACGAAGTAACGAATGACAACTTGATTTCGTTTTATATACGCTCAGGTTCGATCTTGTGGTCTCGTTTTTAAAACATTTGACAGGTTTATTAAATGCTCAATCATTTCGAAATTATGTGCCCTGCAGAAATGTGCCATTACTTTATTTGTTTCAAAGATTGATGAATATTGTCTTTTCAACATTGAAGAATTAGTTTTCATGCGCATCTATTTTAAGTGAGTGAGTGAGTGAGTGAGTGAGTGAGTGAGTGAGTGAGTGAGTGTGTAAATCGAGAATGACCTCTTCAAATCTGGACTGACAACCAAAGTACATGCAGGTGTAACAAATAGCTGGTATGGTTTCATGAAGATTATTTGTACTTACTTGGGTGTCCAACTTTTGCATAAGATCTTTGTTGTAACATCTGGTAAGAGGCCAATAGTCACTGTATTGAATAAGAAGTGGTGTCACAGATTGGTTGAGAGCTGCTTTAGCTGTTGCATCAACCATTGTGTTACCAACGATTCCAACATGGCTGGGTAACCAACTAAAGATGACGTCGGTTTGGCCAGTTTCAAGAGTATTATATAATTTCATAATATCAAGAATCAGTGTTAGAGTTGTCATTTTAAGTGCCTATAGACATGACAATGAATCGGAGAATATGTTATTTTTTTTTACGTTTATTTTGATGTTGAATATATTTCGATGCTGTTTGTATATAGCTTCACTTTACTGTTTGTATTGACACTACCCCAAAATGGATGATACCCATTTAAGTCCCAAATAATGATACAGGGCTTGGGGTACATACAAGCTGGTCATACAGCGCCTGAAGTTCAGTTTGATGGAGATTAGAAGATGGAGGAACATAGAGTGAGCACAAAGTAAAGACAATGTGCAGTGTTACACGAACAGCAACAGCTGTTTTAGGTGAAACGCTTTGGTCTTTTTGTTCAGCAACAATTTCTTCTTCGCTCATGTCAGCGACACAACGAGCATAATCCTTAATGATACCCTGACAGGAGTCCATTAGTGCCCTGTGCACAGAGACGACAACCTTGATGCTAACAAACTGCTTTAATAGCAGCAGGTCGACAGATTGCTGTTTCTGTGCACATTCAACCAGGAGTGAACCGCTACGAAGGCATGTAACATTTTTTACTACTCCACAGGCACCTTCAAAGCACTTGGAGATGGCAAATGGGTTTAGTTTTAATGAATTGCCATCAGCAGATGCAATGACGATAAACCGAGGTCAAGATACAGTATCTGAAGCAGCAGCTACATCGTCGGACGAAATGCAGTAAAAATGTGTGCACGTTTGTTAATCTTTGATGAACAAGATTGTGTGTAGAGACATGGTGTAATAATATAATTCAATACACCTATTCCCCACTCGCCCTTGAGTGTCAACAAGGACGATGTTGCAGCGTAGGCCAGGACATTTGGCAAAATTTACAACATCAAAATCAATGTTTCATAGCGAAAAGGCATTGCTTTGATGGAAATATTTTGAAACCGCCTTTGTGAAGTAAGGGTCGAAGTGGTGTGTTGGGAAAAAGGAACACCTGTTCCTGGCTCCAGGGCCCTCAACCACCAGAATCCCGTCCTCCATGGTCACAGCGGCGCAATCCACGGCAAACAGGTGCTGAGGACACATTCCTATCAACCCCGGGTGCCCACAGGGGCGACGCAATTGGGATGCAATGACCCGATCTCGTTTGTCACCGCTTACGACAAGCCAAGTCGCCACTTGCAACAAGCAAGGGTTGCTGAAGACCTATTCTAACCCGGATCTTCACAGTTGCGTATCGTCCCTACGGTCCTTAGTACGGTAGCTTAACCTTGGTTGCTGGCGATCAATAGCCCGTTTTTATAATGTATTGTTGAATGATCGTTTATAACATACTCTCAGACTAGTATTAAATACAATCTATGATAGTTTAGTTATTTGTACTGTCCTTCGGTGACAGGTTTTTATACAGTTTAAATATATTTGTTATGAATGTATAATTTTGTCTCATCATGATATGGTTGATATATTTCCGATGTGACGTTAAATTTTAGCTCACTCACTAACATAACTAGAATCAGTTTCAGTTTCAGGCTTTTGTCTTCTCCTTGGCAACTTGTCATACCAGAGGTAGCCTTCACTCTTTCACACCTCTCATAACACTTCCTACGGAAACAATCCAATTAGTCTTCCAACAAGAATGCACCAATTACGATCCAAAATGATTCTCACCGCTCAATTTTTACTGATGGGTCCAAGGATGGTGGAAAAACTGCTTGAGCCACTGTCGTTGAATGACAAATTATACGGGTATCTTCTAGATTACCAGATAATAGTTCCATATTCACCGCATAAACAAACAGCATCGAAATGTATTCAACAACAAAATAAACGTAAAATGTTTTAACATATTCTCCGATTCATTGTCATGTCTATAGGCACTAAAACTGTCAACTTTACCACTGATTCTTGGTATTATGAAATTATATAATACTCTTGAAACTGGCCAGTCGACGTCATCTTTAGTTGGTTACCCAGCCATGTTGGAATCGTTGGTAACACAATGGTTGATGCAACAGCTAAAGCAGCTCTCAACCAATCTGTGACACCACTTCTTATTCAATACAGTGACGATTGGCCTCTTACCAGATGTTACAACAAAGATCTTATGCAAAAGAAGTGGGACACCCAAGTAAGTACAAATAATCTTCATGAAACCATACCAGCTATTGGTTACACCTGCATGTACTTTGGTTGTCAGTCCAGATTTGAAGAGGTCATACATGTTATACTGCGACGATACTCACTCACCTAAAATAGATGCGCATGAAAACTAAATCTTCAATGTTGAAAAGACAATATTCATAAAGCTTTGAAACAAATAAAGTAATGGCACATCTCTGCAGGGCGCCTAATTTCTAAATGATTGAGCATTTAATAAACCTGTCAAATGTTTTAAAAACGAGACCACAAGATCGAACCTGAGCGTATATAAAACGAAATCAAGTTGTCATTCGTTACTTCGTTACATCGTTGCAGATTGGTAAGTATGGTTGGCTTCCAATCCATTTTAGCATTGAAGTGGAACTTACAGCAAACATCTCACATATTACTCTGACAGAAACTGAGTATCTCACAGAGAAATAGAGCATTGACATGACTGTTCCACCACCCATATCGTGGAGATATATAATATGTTCCCATATTCATGTGAATGATTGGCATGTAGCATTTATTCATTGTGCGATTCTAAATAAACATGTCAAAATAACATGAGAGATTTATTGGTGCGATCAAGGTCCTGGGAGATGTGCCACGGAAATGTGACGTAAAGCCGGTTTTCCTGTCAGCTGAAGCTGTAGATACACATAGATGCACCGATTATACCACCGGCTCTTTTTTCAAGTAATAACATCAATAAAATAGCACCTGCTTGTTAAAAATTCTTTTTTGAAAAGGCCCAGGGCTAATTTGGAAGCTTACGCTTTCTTATCTGAATAGGGCAGGCCATTCGTACAAGGTATTAATTTAAGGAAGATCACTCCAAAATTGAAATACGAAGTCCATAGGCCGAAATACGGAAATATTATCTGTATCTTCCGTTTTTAGGCCCATGCGCGGAATTCTGCGTGGACCTGAATGTTATATAGTGGTATAGTGTATTTGAAAGAATCACTGTAAATCAGGTGTTCAACGTAAACGAATAGGGTATGCATGTCCTGCTCTACCGATTCTGATCACAGATTGTGTTGAAACTGAAAACGAGATGTTAATTTTGAATTACATCGGCTGCGTACAAGTGCAGATATTCCGCTTCTTACAGTGAGTGAGTTAGTGAGTATGGTTTTACGCCACTTTCAGCAATATTCCAGCAATATCACGGCGGGGGACACCAGAAATGGGCTTCACATATTGTACCCATGTCGGATATCGAACCCGGGTCATCGACGTAACGAGCGAACGCTTTAACCACTAGGCTACCCGAGAAACTTTGTATGTGCATGGGGCGAGCAGGGTTGGGGTGGCTTGGGGTGGGTACGAGGGACAATATTACATTACATATAATACATGATCAGCTGATGTGCTGTTTGATATCTGAATGAAAACACAGTGATGATTTATCTTTCCTATGTATACTGCTAAATAGACAATATGTGAAATATGTCATTAACATGTAATACGAATGACAAAGTACAGTATACGATTTCACCTACTAACTTCGATATCAGTGTGCAATGAACATGGAAAGGCTTCACATCTGAAGCATTGTTCACATGACCCATGTTTCATGATGACGCACACAGTTTACCTTTTGCTGTTTTCACATTTTTTGAATTCAGTTTAACCCTGTCAAGAATAGTGCATATTGAATCATCTCTATGTGATTAATTGTAATTCTGATGCGTCTCCCAGATGCCGTACAGTCGCGGATTGTTCGTAAACTCAAATTCTCCGTTGCTTGTCTGCGTAGTATTTGCAATTTTACTGCTTACCAAGGAATAAAGCTCTGACCCATTTTCTGTCTGAGCGTGTCCGTTGGGGCTAGCTAATGGCATAGCCAAGTGTTCTCGAAATCATCATATTTAATCATAAAGGTAAGAAATCCCAGGAAAATCCTGGGGTGGCGGCAAATAATTAGCAGGGATGAATGCATTATTCATACTGTTTGGGGGCTGGGGCGGGGGTTGCTGGGGGAGATAATGGACTTGTGTCTGGAAAGATCAGTAACGGCCCATTAAATACAATGTATGTTACAAATGAATGTTGCTGAATTTGAACTAACTGAAGGTATCATCTAAAATTGTATCCTTTTCCTTTGACAACAGAGATATCAACCATGAAAACCTTGGCTGTTGCTCTTTGTTTGGTTCTGGTGGTGGCAATGGCCTCAGCCACATACCAAGCCTACCCAATTGGAGGAGGATACGGAGGAGGATACGGGGGAGGATACAGGCAAGGATACGGACCAGGAAATGATGTATTTAACAACCAAAACTTCAGACAGTATGCCACCATCAATCAACAACAGTTCAACAAGCAATACGCTGACCAAGATATCTATAATCGTGGCCGTCCCTACTATGGCGGAAAGGGCTATGGTGGATATTAAGATGGTTCATGCACATTGTCCGGATCATAAGGCAGGACTCCACCTCTTTCGCATACGACTTGTTTGACGTGAATTAATAAATCTTTGCATGATTTTTTATTGTATCCGTTGTTATCCTTGAACACATATCTTTCTTTGATTTATGATCAGCTGGTTTGATAAGTCATTTAATGGTAATTGTCAACGAAATCATCATTCAGATATCATTAACTAACATTTGAAAGCAACCCTTGGAATAGTGAAAGCTTAAAGAAGGGCTATCTTCATGAAAAACTATTACAAAACACACACCTGTATCGCTTTGTCAGAAATATTTACGCCATTTGAACCCCCTTTGAGGAAACAGCCACTAACCATCTAAGTTACAGATTAAACACGACACTATAAAAAAATAACTATCTACACAATGCAAGTTTATCAATAAGTTATATTTCTTTAAAAAATCCTATAATTAAATGACAGCTAATACTTGAAATGATCCTTAAGATATGATCAATGGAAATATTTATCCCCGGTGATGGCAAAATTAATACAGTCAAGCAGGACAAGTGAGAAATAGAGATGTGAGAAATCGTGTTACATTATTTATATCGTCTCGATACGTATAAATGCTTCAGATAACAGACGCAAATTGCACTCATATTGGGCATGAGAACGCATTTTAGCGTGACAATGCATTAACTAATACGCTGGCCTACCACCACTCACGGTCCTTGAAAGCATTAATTGAATTTGCTGTTTAATATCCAAAGGAAAATACAACGATGATTTATCTGACCCTTGTGTGCAGGTTAAAAGGCAATTTATGCAATATGTCATGTACATGTAATGTGCATGACATAGTACAATATACGATTTCGCCTACGACGTTCGAAAGCATTGTTCACATGACCCATGTTTCATGATGGCACACACAGTTACTTGGATGAACTGACGACAATCTATGTACATAACACATTTATTACAAATTACTACAGGACATTTAGCTTCCTTTTCGGTCGCCATTGTAATAACATGTGTGGTCACTCTAATTAGGACATATCTCCATATGTGTGGTTTATCCAAGATGCCGAATATTCGCGGATTGTTCGTAAACTCAAATTCTCCGGGGCTTCTCTGCGTAGTATTTGCAATTTTACTGCTAACCAAGGAATTATGCTCTGACCCATTTCTGTCTGAGCGTGTCCGTATGGGCTAGCGAATGTCATAGCCAAGTGTTCTCGAAATCATCATATTTAATCATATAGGTAAGAAATCCCAGGAAAATACTGGGGTGGCTGCAAATAATGAACAGTGATGTATACATCATTCATACTTTTGGAGTGGCGGGGTTGGGGGGCTGCTGGGTGAGATAATGGACTTATGTCTGGGAAGATCAGTAACGGCCCCTTAAATACAATGTATGTTGCAAATATGTCACGTATTGTATTTAAACTTAATTGAAGGTATCATCTAAAATTGTATCTTTTTCTTTGACAACAGAGATATCAACCATGAAAACCTTGGCTGTTGCTCTTTGTTTGGTTCTGGTGGTGGCAATGGCCTCAGCCACATACCCAGCCTACCCAACATACCCAATTGGAGGAGGATACGGAGGAGGATACGGGCAAGTATACGGAACAGGAAATGATGTATGGAACAACCAAAACTTCAAACAGTATGCCAACATCAACCAACATCAGTTCAACAAGCAATACGCTGACCAAGATATCTATAATCGTAGCCGTCCCTTCCCCATCCTTGGCGGCAAGGGCTGGAGTGGATAATAAGATGGTTCATGCACACTGTCCATAACGCAGGACTATAACCTTTGTTTATGTGACCTATTTGACATGAATACATAAATCATTGCAACACATGTTTATAAGTTATATCATCCTTAAACAATCAGTTATATTATGATTTATGTTCTGGTAGGTTATATCCCGGACATCCATAGTGGACAATGGTTTGACAAGGTTCCGTGACATAAATAATAACGAACTTATATCTCGGATTCCTCACTTACTAATATATAGTTCAGAATGCTTATTTGACTTGTATGATATAAATAAATAAATCAGTGCTGCGATTGTTTTAGAAGGTTCCAAGTTTGCATTATCAAAGTCTCCAGAATTTTAGTTCTGGCAGATCGTATCTTGGTAATGTCTAATGAAATATTCCAGTACATTGAGTCATTTCAGATCTTTGGGATATTCTCAAATAACATCCATCGCTGACACCTGGTCTTGGCTTTGTGAAACCTTAAAAGTTGATTGTTTCTGCTCAGATGATGTAGCAGTCACACGATATAGTGTATACATAAGCATTGTTGTTTCAACGGAGATGGAAAAGATCAATTGTCCGATAATAGCAATGTACCATTTAGACTGTGTTTGTTTCATGGACATATTTTACTCCTTAGTCTAGATTTGCACATTGTCCAAACGAAACCACATAGTAATGTCTCCCTTCTATCATGGAAGCAAAACTTTTTGGTTGATGTGAGTATCCCTGTGATATCAACCATGAAATCCTTCGCTGTTGCAATTTGTTTGGTTCTGGTGGTTGCATTGGCCGCAACCACACACTATCAACCCACATATGCATACGGAAAGGGATATGGATACGGGGGGAATGACCTAGTATAGATAACTACCGAAACCTCAGACAGTATGCCACCATCAATCAACAACAGTTCAACAGGCAAGTTGTTGACCTAGATATCTATCCTCGCGGCGGCTTCCCCACCTATGGCGGCAAGGGCTGGACGACTGGATAATAAGATGGTTCATGCACATTGTCCATAACGAAGGCCTATAAACTTTGCTAATGTGACCTGAATGACATGAACGAATAAATCATTGCCACACATATTTATGAAGTTGTATTATCTTTAAATTATCATTTATATCGTGATTTATTTATCCTGGAAATCGGATGGACAAGGTTCCTTGACATTAAATAATAAAGAACTCGGATTCCTCACTAATATATAGAAGGTTACGGTTAAATATCCTGTATTAGGAATAAATGAGTGAATGAGTTAAGATTTATAGTCACATCGGCATTTTTCAGCCATATCTGACTAGTATTACTGTAATACTATACTCACACGCAAAAGAAACGCAAGTGGTTTTAAGCAAATAGGTAACAAACACGAAACCATACATTGATACGAGTTTAAACATGTAGTGAAGCCTGATGGTGTTATCAATGTTTTTGGTTGCATTTCGGAAGCCCCGAGTAAAAACGCAACATAAAATACGAATCGCCAAAACACACCATTTTAATGAATATGTTGGTATCATGCACCCATTTCTCGCGAAATCGAAAATGCACGAACTGTCACGAACTGTAGTGGGTATACAACTTTGGCCGATTCTTGGACCTACCACTCCTTGGTCAACAATGCTACCCTAACTCAAATTCAGAGAAACCAGGCTATCGGACGTTTGGGAGCTTGAGAGTCTGTCCAAGATGTTGCCCGTCATTTCAACGTTAACATAACCACAATTTACCGTCTCCTGCATCGATACAATGCTTCACAGACCACAGATGACCTTCCTCGGAGCGGTCGTCCTAAGGGTCACCACACCTCTACAAGATCGGCAGATTACCCGTCAACACCAGCGACATCCGTTCCTAACTGCAAGTGAAAGTGCTCGACAGACAATAGGAACACATAATCGACACATTAGTCTAGACACTGTGATCCGACGCCTCTGTTCCAACAACCTCAGATGTCGCCGACCAGCACATCGTCCTCGTCCCCATGTTGTCAGAGCTACCATGGCCTTTCTGAAACAACACAACATCCGTGTTCTACCGTGGCCAGCCCTCAGCCCTGATCGGAACCCCATCGAACACTTGTGGGATGAGGTTCAAAGGCGTCTGCACAATGTGCGCCCAGTCCCTACATCTGCCGATGAACTACGCACAGCTGCTCTGGATGTGGGCAGGAGGATACCTAGGGCCTTCACAAATCGTCTGATCCACTCAATGTACAGGAGATGTGTGGCAGTGATCATTGCTAATGGTGGTCACACCAGGTATTGTCTGACATTTTGGGTATTGACCCAAAACTGTGTAAGACCTTAACATTTGAAAAAAAACAATTATGTCATCTGCCTTTTAATCCATTAAACTGTCTTCAGTCAAATTTTTGTCAATCTGGCCCGATGACAGAGTGGTTTGCCAACTCCATTTGTTTGTTTGTTTGTTTGTTGTTAACGCTGCACTCAGCAATATTCCAGCAATATGATGGCGGTCTGTAAAATAATCGAGTCTGGACCAGACAATACAGTGACTGACATCACGACCATCGATTGGGATTCGGTGACATGCTACAACCAAGTCAGCGAGCCAGACTGACCGATCCCGTTAGTCGCCTCTCACAAGCATAGTCGCCTTTTACGGCAAGCGAGGGTTGCTGAAGACATATTCTAAGCCGGCTCTTCACAGGTTGTCTTCTAACTCTGTAGCGATTTCTTCTTCAGAGATGTCAGACAGACAACGAGCCCTGCCACGAACAATGCCACGACAAGTGCAGTGCAGATAGTGTATTATAGATTGTTTTGCTTGTATGTTTGTTGTTCAACGCTGCTCTCAGCAATATTCCAGGTATAGGCCCCATGGGGACCGGGGGTAGAATGTGTCCCCAGCACCCCATTGCTGGTCGCAAGGGGAGACCAAACTGGGAAACCCGTTTTCCGTGGGTAGCGCTCCTGTGTCGGTGGAGGATTAGATTCTGATGGTTGAGAGCACTGGAGCCAGGAGCATTGTTTCATTTGCCTGACACACCACTTTGACCCTAACTTCAAGGAGACAGGTGGTAGAAAGAGCCTAGTTCTATCAGTCGGCTGGTTACGACATGCCCTGTGCATTGTCAACGTTAAATTTGAATATATATTGAACAACAAAAGTTCCTGTGACATTGAATAAGATTTAATGCAAAGTTATGTTTACAGATAAAAGGCTCCTGTAAGTGTTCAAATGGTTTAATTTGCCATACTGACTTCAGAAAATGCGTGATAAAAGTCAACTTTTGCATGGAAATGCATGCTTTTCTGTAGCAGTTGCGATTTTGTGACTTGATTCCATACATGTACTACA